CTTCCTTCCTTCCTTCCTTCCTTCCTTCCTTCCTTCCTTCCTTCCTTCCTTCCTTCCTTTGTCTCTGCTCTGGGATTTGTGTGTTAAAACTAGATTACTCAAACCCCTTTACGACCAATTAAACCTTACCAAGAGGGGAAAAAACCTCTGTAGGAAAATTTGCTTCTTCTGCTTAGAAAAATTAGTACTTAAGGGGCCAGGGATTTAGTTCAGTGGTTCTGGCCATGCCTCGAAAGCGCAAGGTCCCAAGTTCGATCCCCCGTACCAAAAAAACTCTAAGAAAAATTAGTAAGGTAGAAGTATTGGGAAATTCAGAAAAGCATAAAGAACAAATGCATGTGTAGTCTTGCAATTGGAATCTTGCTACTTATTGACCTATTTCGCACAAAACACAGAAATTCTTCTTCAGTCATCGTTCATTCTCTCAGGTGTGACTTTCACAATAGCTCTTGTCACATCTTTTTCACGTCGGGGTCTTAACATAATTTTTTTTCCTTAATGTTTGAAAGAGGCTTTTTCCTGTTAAACACTTAAAGTGTTGCCTGTGAGGAGGAGGAGGAGGAGGAGGAGGAGGATGGTTATTGCAGTACACAGGGTGGATCAGGACCTTTACACTAAGCTACATCTCCAGCCTTTAAAAAATTTGTTTTTATTTTTTATTTTGAGTCAGAGTAAGACAAAATTGTTAAATTATCCAGGCCAGGCAGGAACTTTTCCTGCAACTTAGTCGTGGATCTGGAACTGAGCAACTTGTAGCTCTTCTGCAAGGTCAGAAGGACCTTTCCATATGAATGTTTTGAATTACTTCAGGGCCTAGCGTCAGCCATGACAGTGGAACTAAAAATATTCACAAAAAAAGAACTTCCAGAACTGCTTCAGAAAGTGACAAGAATGATGGGATAAGTGTATTGGCGACAAGGTAGAGCGTTTTGAGGGAAATTCATGGCAATATATCTTTTATTATACACATTTTTAAAAATTTCATCATTGACTAGTTTCTATCATACCTTGTACATCATGATGTGAAACACCCCACTTTGTTTATCCATCCATAGCTGTTGGACATTTGGGTTGTTTCTGTCTTTGATATTTGTTCATGGTGCTTCTGTGGACATTTCTGTAATTTTTGTTTGAAAAGCTTTTCAGTTCTCTTGGGCCTGTACCTAAGAGTAAAAATGCTATGCCATATGGTAACTTTGTGAATAATTTTAAAGAACCAGTTATCTTGTTTTAACTTGCATCTCTTTGTCATAAAATTTTTCAAAATTCCACTTGATATTGGAAATTTGAACTTTCTCCTTGCTTATGGTCCACTGGAGTAGTAGAGGTAGCAGTTAACTTTGGGTAAACAGGGCCTCTGGTCCTGTAGTGAGGCTTCTGAGGACCCTACCTTAACTCTGTCCTGTCTTATCCTATCCCAAAAGGTGAGGCATCCACTCAGCCAGTGCATGTGCTGACCTTAGCTTACGTCCCCTTGGGCACAGTGCTCTATAGGACCCCATCATTTCCTATGCAGGTGGCTCTCAGCCCAGCAGAGTCTGAGACCCTTTCTTGGGTCCCTCCTCCATCTTGGACTGAGACACAGCTGTGTGCTGCTCTGGATGTGTTTAAGTGATGGTCACTGGTAGGGGCTGCTGCTTGCAGGTACATGTTTGGGGCATTCGTCACATACACGTGAAGTCCCTTGTAGTGCTGGATGGAACCTGGAGTGGGAAAGGAGGAGACAGATCATGGGCCAGGTGCTGGCTAAGGATGCCCCTCACACTAGCAGCCTGTTGGCTGTGGAACTCTGAGAGTCCAGGAATTCTGTGTTTGAATATGGCTTTCAGGTCATCAAGACATATTTTCAGTGCAGGGAGTTAGACCACATTTAACCATTTGTTAGCTGTATTTTTCATTTAAAGTTTTCTGGCACCTAGTATGTGGATGTTCCTTTGAACTCTGCAACTGTTAATGGGTTGGCCTGGGAGTTTGTCTCAATGATTTGTAAACCTGGCATGGTGTTGCATGTCTCTAAGCCCAGTGCTATTGTAGACAGCTAAATTAGTTAGAAAATATTATAAGGCAGTTGCAGAGCTGGGTCCTCAGCACAGAGGACAACTGTGGCTGAGGACACATACACTGAAGGCCAGGATTCAAGAAAAAGAAGAACTACTACACCCACATACTTCCCCTAGGGATGAACAGCAGTGATTGATATTCTAAATAGGCATCAATCACCTTGGGTGGGGACCAAACCTCCCTAGCCCATTCATTCCAGGAAAATCCTTGTTCTTTTCCCATACACTTGCTGCATGACTTGCTTCCCCATTTGATCCCTATTTAAGCAATGTTACCTGACTATCCTTGTTGTAGTCATACTGG